TCACTGGCACACAGTGCTACAGACAGAGGCTCGAATCTACCACAAACTGCTCAGACCACATGCCATACATTTTTCACAAGCAAGCATGTGCACCAATCCACTCAATCTCTTCAGCCCTCATCTGCTGCTCATGTGAATTCAATCCACTACCTTTTTGCCATGTGCTGCGCTATACTTGATCCGTGCTGTGGGCCCAACTGCTTTGTAACAATTTACGTTTTGGCTTCCAAGCGAAGCAACATGCTGCCTTCCTGTTTCACCGCAGGCCCACACGCTCTGAATTGACTCATGTGGCCTTATTTGCAGCTATGGGCTCCTCATGGGACAATTAATTCTGGGCAAGGCGCTCACCTGCCTCTGTGAGCTGGTTCTTGGCCGCCTTCTCATTCTACTAATCCATATCTGCTGAGCCATGTCTTGTGAGCCAGCGCTTCGTGTGTTTCTCATGTATACTCAGGTGTCGACGCGGTTTTGAGACTGTGGCAAAGCTACAGAGAAACAAAATCGAGGCTGGACGAGACCTAGCCCATCGGCGAGGTATGCAATAGGCTCAGAAGGTGGTGGCTGATGAGGATTCCATGCCATCAAGGAAACGCCAAACCTGACTTAGTCGCCGTGTGTGCTGTTGTGGTGCATTTAGAATCAGCAGGGTTTGTGCTGCGCATCAAAGCCAACGAACATCACAGCCAACAGCTTTGCCGCACCCTTGCTGGCCGACTGCTCGTTGCTGTTGCGGCCGCCAGTGCTGGAGCTGGGGCCAGGGAATCCAAGGCCGAACAAACCCTTTCAAACAAGGCCGCTGGTCAAGGCGACTACTTCGAAGGTGTCGTTGTGGCCCGGTGAGGGGACTAGCTAAGGCGCCTTTCAGCCGAAGCAAAATCTGAGGTCATGGACAGGGCACCTTGCCCGGCAATTTTCTGGGTTTGTTGTTCACGTTTTGTTTCTTCAGAGGGTTTTAATACCAGTTAAACAGCATTATCGCAGAGAGTGCTCAGAAGCACAAGCACATCAACATGATTGAGAAATGGGCCCTGATAGTCAAAAACACCTTCAACATGGTTGCTGACTGCATGGGCAGCGCAGAGCCATACCCAGACATGACTAGGCCGGCGGTTCAATGGCTGGAGTTTGGCCCCTTGCGAGATGACATCTGCCGCCAGGCAGAAACTCGAGCTTGGGTGAGCGCAGGGTAAGAAACACCCATCCAAGCAAGCCTTGACAGCAAGGAACCCCAGTGCCTCCAAAACCTTTTCCTTCCGAAGAAACAATTGGCTGCAAGCTCATACGCCGCATGCAGCCAGCTGCCCCATGGATGTTGGCTCTTGTTCAAACTGAGCCCGGAAGGTTGAAACTGCATACCTCGCTTCCACGTCAATGACAAGGCGCAATCCTTGAAACGAGGCGCCCGACCATAGACTCGTAGAGGCCACAGAAAAACCACCTGCCAGATGACGCTGAATGCTGATAGACTGCAACGACTCAATCATTTTGGCTTCGCTCTCATCTCTGAACTGGTTGCTCAAATTGCATGCTTCAACAGCAAGACAATTGAGTTGGCGCAAAGCCTGGCCCATCTGAACAATGCAAATGTTGCTTGGGTCTTGGCCGCTGCCCCGTGTCTCCAAGTCTGAACCTGCGTACAGACGCAACCCTTCCAGCAGCTGTCAAACGCTTTCAGTTTGGTGCGTTAAGCGCTGGCCAACGTGCCGCCTCTGCTGCTGCCTGTTGCTGCTCCTTTGCCTTTTCTGCTGCCCGCTCATCTTCCCCTAAGACCAGGCAACAACAAACGCAACAGAACGCCAGAATAAATTCCTTCAACGCTTCTGTCAGTCAATCTTCTGGAGCAGCTTGTCCAACTTCTTGCGAACCGCCATTGAATCCTGTAGCTTTCCCCCCCAGCAGGCGCAATGCAACCGGCACGCCGCGCAAGCCAAGCTATACAGAATCTCGAGCGACGTCGGCGAAAGTGACCCAGATCAGCATTCATGCTCCGCGAGACTTGCTTGCTGCGAGACAACTCGCCGCGTCGGGCCAGGGACGGCATCCACGCCCTGCGTGTCGTGCCTCTTGGGGCTCGTTGGCCCACAAATGAGAGATGTCCATAAACATTATGGACAGGCTCCTGACTTTCATTGATGTGAAGCAAGAGGACTGTGACTCCTCCCGCAAGCAAAGGTTGCGCCGCCAGCAGCTTGTTTTCCACCGCAGCCGCAGAAGTTCACTGCAGGCCTATTGCTACATCCGGAGCAGACCAGCCCAGCCAGGGCCAACAACACGGCAGAGCAATTGCCGCAAGCCCTGCGTTCGACAGCAACAGTGGCAGAAGCGCAGCAGCTACAACCGCAGCTGCTGCGTCAGCCAGCTGCCGCCGACAGCAGCCAATGTTGCAAGAGATGCCTGATGAAGAAGGCGTGAAAAATTGCCACGAACAAAGCAACCCTTCGCCTTCGACTGCGCCAGCACCAGCACCTGCGCCTTCCGAAAGCAAGGCCGCCAGCACCAGTGCCGTCACGGCCGTCTGCGGCAGCAGCGAAGCCCAAGCCCAAGGCCAAGGCCGCAAAAGCCAAAAGCAAGCCAACCAAGCCCAAGTAAAAGGGGTCCAGCTTCAAGGGTGGCCAAGGTAGTGGAAGCGCCTTGTTCTGAACCATTGTGCTTTCTGAAATGTATTGGTTTGGTCACCTGTTTGGTCTTTCCGATGTAGGCAGACGATGAGCGCTGAGCACTGAGACATCTTTTTGTACAGCCTGAAGCCATTTTTGAGGCTGCATAGGGTTGTCTCGAAAGAAAGGCGCTCTTTTTCGCATGTTTGAAACGGGCATGAACAGGAACCCTACCGCTTGAAGGGGTGCCGAATTTAGAGCAACATCCATATGGGCTCGCGCGGGCGATTCTTAGCAAGCTGCGGTGGCAGTGGCGCAATGGTGCCTGTGACGCTGTGGGAGGCTTGCGCTTTTGGCCTCAATGTGGGCCTGCGTTCGTTTCGCAAGCTGCGGTGGCAGCACGCAATTGCGGGGCCGCGTGCTGCGGGACGCTTGCGGTGTCAAGGCAATGATGTGCCAATTATGCTAATTTGGACACTTTTTTGGGAAGATGAAAGGAGCGAGTTCATTTGCCCACGTGCAAAGTCTCTACGCAGTTCAGGTTTTGGAATTACCGAAGGTGTGGGGTATCAAGACTGATCTGTCAGCCACCTGTGCGACCTGCGTTTGTAGTAAAACTCAGTAAGCCACTTCCTCAGAAAGACTATGTATCGTCATGGCGTGTTGCGCAGGAGCAGAGGTGAGGGCACGTTTCCGTATTTACTGCGGCCGCCCCGTTGTGTGGAAATCGGGATGCGGAGAGTTAGGGCACCCTTCGTGCGTGGTATCCCTTGGTAGAAAGGCGCTAAGTTTATCTTCAAACATCGGGGAAGGCGCAGCCTATTGGCCGCAAAGTGATTACGCGCTTGGACTTTTCCACAGGCATGTTTTTGCCAGTGCCAACTCCAATGCGTTACAAACAACATTTTTCGAAACCCTCATTGGAAGTAGTAATTGTGTGTTAGGTTGCAAATTACCTGACGTTAACCTCAAACCGACCGGTCTATCTAGTAGCCCTTCGCGGCTAGGCATCAAGCAAGCTGCTGCCACCTTGGGGCTGGCCACTGAGTGGTCTTTGATGCGTCAATCCGTCCAGCGAAAACAGGAAATCTTGCCATGTGATACCAGGACCCATACTCGTCGTACAGTTGCTGTTGGTCTCCAGTCGCACCAGAAATTTTGTACGCGCACTGCCGTCCGACCATTGAAAGCTTTGATGACCACAAGTACTTTCTTGAACATGGAAAAATAGCCTCCCTGCGGTGAATCCGAAATGTTCTTCTGGTAGCTTGCCATCAGGCAAGGCCAGGCTCCGCTCTCACCCACCTGCGTGAGCTGCAAGGCCTCATACTGAGTGTTGGGACAATCTTCTTGGGTCATATGCAACTTGGTCTGACTGACTGCTTGTTTGTCTGACAAGATATATGGCCTGTTTCTCAGTTGGGGCGGGTGTGGTACCTCCACCTGTGGTTGAAAGTTGATCTGCTGCATGAACCTAAACAAGGCCGCGTCACGAGGAAAAACCATCCGCTGCAGAATCGTGAGATTGGGGGGAGACCATCCACGTTGCCTGCGCCTTCCCAGATCCTATTGTACCCGTCGCCATCAAAATTCTTCGCAGGAACTTCCAACACTCATGCGTGGCAAGGCGCGTGGCAAGGCTGTAGACATTGTCCATGGCGAGGATGGCAGGAAACAACGAAAGATCCGTGCTGATCCGCGCCAGCCTCCAATGCCCACGTTTGCCTTTGACACCATCTGCTGCGCATAGGATTTCCAACCTGGGTGACTATCACGAAATGGCCATTTGTGAAGTTGTTCCATGGCTTGTTCATCAGGTCCTCCAAGAAGACTGCAGTGCCTGGGTGCAGCAGCCTCCATTTCCTGTTCAACCGAGACTCACACTAGTGCCAGGAAATGGCAGTCGTGCGCCAACTCCGCCAGTCCAATCAAGAAAAAGGGCCGATTGCTGCCGCGCCGCCGTACCTGGTGAAATGCTTCGTGATGGCACTATATGTGTCCACAGGATATAAGCGCACACCCGGGTCAGCTGACTTGTGCTTTTCCACGCTCACCATCTGGCACCGCCCCGTGACACCGCTCCCTTCTCTGCAGGTCCAGCAAACTGCCAGTACATTTCAACGAACCGCGTTGATCCATCTTGCCGATGATGAGGTTGGTCAACCCATCCCGTGGATACTGACCACGCCAGACGGTCTCACAACGTGACGGCTCAAGCCAAGAGAACCTTCCAAGCTGGCAAACCTGTTTAAAAAGAAAAGGACCCGATGTCTGATCCCTGGAGACAGCGCCTCGTCAAAAAACAAACTGGGATTGCGGTGACCCGTTTGGGATCCATCTTAACACGTACCAATTCCCATCGCTGCGAATACCCACTGTGGGGAGGCTTGGGCATCCGACAGCGCAGGCAATGTGGAAGCGCGCCACCTCGTTCTGGCCTCAGCGATTGCAGGGCCATGAGGCGCATGAGGCGGCAATCAGGCTCTGTATCACGACATCCATGCGTGCGCACACGCAGGCAGGAAGGCTCACCCACACACGCTCACACCCAGCCCAGCCAAGCAGCCAGCCAGCCAGCCAGCCAGCCAGCCAGCCAGCCAGCCAGCCAGCCAGCCAGCCAGCCAGCCAGCCAGCCAGCCAGCCAGCCAGCCAGCCAGCCACACGAGGTTCGCGAACATCAGACGCTTGTCGTTTCAAGGGGGCCGCGTGCGCGCGCTTGTGTGCGCGTGTGCGCGTGCGTGTGTGCGCGCCAGCACGCGTGCGCGCGCGCGCGCGCGTGCGTGCGTGGGTGGGTGGGCGGGTGCGTGGGTGCGTGGGGGCGTGGGTGGGTGCGTGGGTGGGTGGGTGGGTGGGTGTGTGTTGTGCGTTTTGTGTGTCATGTGTGTGTGTGCTCCTGCGCCGCAGGCCCTGCTCTGACATTGTCAGGGTCATCTGCCATGGGCTTCTGTGTGTGAGCCCAACGCGGCTTGGCAGTCTTGCACTTGTTCTCCTAGGCGTGCTTCTGCGTGCTGTCAGTGATCTTGAAGTCTATGGCAGGCGTAGAATACACATGCATAGGGTTGGAACCTGAATCCACACCCCCCTCATTTGAGATGGCACGGCAACGAAAATGTCCGGCAGGTTTTGCAACCCGCTATGATTTGACATTCATCCATGGCACATTGAAAATGGACCGTCGTGCCTTCAAATTGCTACCGTCTCTCACGAGTGCTCCTTTGTGGTGTACATTGCCTTCACCACCTCCTGCCCGATGACCAATCTCGCGAGCCCCAGGATGACCAATCCTAGTTGCCCCAGCTGCGATCGCTCCAGTCCCTCCAGCTTCGGCTTCGGTGAGCTGCGGAGGAAGAGGAGGACGGCTGAGCGTGCCCGCGAGCTCGATCGTCAGCGCTTTGCTTCTGCAGAAATGATTGCGCTGCGCCAGCCTTTTGGCGTCATTCGTCAGATGTCACGAATCTCGGCTTCGAGGTTCTCGGCTCCGGTTGCCCGGAGCGTCGGAAACTGCACGCCAAAGGTGACGATGCTCCTCGTTCCACCTGCGTGACGAACTGTGAAAGGCTGAGCATTTTTCCGTAAGCTGGCGCAGGTTGGCGTCGTAGTCCTCGATGTTGCCACCGCTGACGTACACAGTGCGAACATAGCGATGGCCCTTCGCGCCGTACCCGGGCCCGACTCCCAACAGCCTCTGATCATAAGTACGAGGAAATTCGGGGAGCACGCAAAAGCGATAGAGGGACATCTGGAACAAACTGTCCCGCTGATGCCCTTGCTCGACCATTCTCAGGGCAAACGTAGCGTCGTTGTCGAAGCGATCGACGACGTTGTTGTGCCCCAACTTCCTCGCCCTTTGGTCATAGTTTTTCGCAGCCTCTGGCCTCGAACGAGGTTGCGCCGCACTTGGAGACATCAGTGTGCCCCTTGAAGTCGCCAATCATGAGCTGGTTGATGCTTTTGCCAATTCGATGACAAACTTCTTCGAGCATTTGAGTGCGCCTCTTCGCCGTCCGAAACAACTGGGCGTCACTTGTCTCCTTTGTCCCATGCCCGCAGCGTTGGCATTTTAACTGCCCTTGCATCATGTCTTCTCCACAGGCTGCACAGTCGGTGTGGCGAATGGGCATGGCGAATGCTTTGAACCTGACAGTCGACGAAGATTACTCTCGATCGGCTTCGGGTTGCCCCGCGCGAGTTGAGCTAGCAGCCGTGTCCTCATTTGTCTGCTCCTCTTCGGGGTTCTTGGCCCTGTCGCCCTCCTTGTCAGTCTGGAAGGCCTCATCCGATGTCACGATGACGGCTTGCCTTGCGGCAAGCGATTCGGCACTCGTCTGCTTTTCCAACGCCTCCAAACGGAGGGCGTTCCTTTGCCAGTTGCTCCGTCCGTGTAGCAGAGGATAGCGTCGTTGGGCACGATGTCGGACGTCAGCATGACATTGGACTCGGAGAGGAAGAAGATCACGCCCTGCTCACGTACTTGAAATCAATCACCAATTCAATGGGCATAGTGGCGCGGACTCCGGCGTTGCAGGACGCGCTCTCAATCGGGTGGATGGAGAAGTGGCCCTGTGCACGTCCGCTCTCCGTTGCACCAACGCCTCCAGGGCGCCCGTTCGTACAATGCTGAGCGTTGATGCTGATGGCGACATCAGCCGGAACCAGTATGCGCTTGCGAAGGCCGTCTTCGGGAATCACCTCCCGGAGGACGCCCGCAAGGCCGGACTGACGCTTTCGCTGATGAAGAATGCCCCCGGCAAGTTGTACCACCGCACCAGCAAAGCTGCGGCGGAGCTGGCGTGGCCTTGGCTTGCACGAACCTTGATGATGACCCATTCCTGATTGTTCTCAGCGGCCGAAGGATGCTTGCTCGCGAGGATCGTGAATCGGCACTTTGGGTCGCTGGCGAAGATCTTCAACAGCGTCTTGTGCCCGATGTTGCTCTGGGTCTTCCTGTTGAACTTGCCGCACAGCTGATGCACATCGACGAAGTAATTCTCGTCGAAGTCCAACGGCTGACGCTCCTGAAACCAGCCACGCAACATCCCGGTCAAAGTGGGGCATCTGTCCGTCGAGGCGGGCTCTCCCTTGAGGAACTTCGGCATGTTCAGAATCGTGCCGGGGAGAATCCTTGCCTCGTACTGCTGGCCGCGGAAGGTTACGACGCCGCCGGGCTTGCCTGGCAATTCACTGCCGGCAGGGGTTGCCCCCCGCACATCCGACGCGACTGCTTTCGGCATTGGTTTCGCCTGCGCCTTAGGCGATGCCTTTGCAGTGTACTTAGGTGTCGCGACGTCCTCGAGGACGCGCCCCTTGGCCAACTGATGGGGCGCTGGAGGTCCTCCCATGATTGAAGAGTGAGCCTGGCCACGCATTTCATCACTCCACCGTCGTTTTGCGAGTCTCGATGGAGTCCATCATGTGATAGTTGTCCAGCCTGTCTTGACGTGCTACCAGAAATGTAGACTCCTTCTTGCGAAGGAGCTTGTGCCTGCCAAGCGTCTCCTCCAGAAGCCTTTCCATAAGCTGATTGTAGATCGGGGGGCAGCATGTAGTACGAACCCTCGGTGTTGGAGAGGATCGTGAGGTTGGCAACGCCCCACCAGCTTCTGCGTTCCTCGAGCAAATCAATCGCCTTGGCGCACTTGTTGAAAAGCTCGGGCCAGTGACCGTCTCCGCATCGGTATGGCCAATCCGGCTCGTCGCAGATCCCACCGCTGCCAACAAGCTCGTTCACGGACCGCACACCGTCACGTAGAAGTCATGGTCCTTAAACTCGGGCCGCCTTCATCGTGCTCTTGACGGTCCAAGCGAGGAACGAGAGATCCTTGCCCCAGCACACCTTCACCTTGCAGTGGCTGCGGCCGCTGCTGCGGTTGTAGCTCATGCCCTGGGCGATGTCCGCTCTTTTGCGGCTCCTCTTGCCTCCGCTAATCAAAGCGAGGCTGGAGTCGCTCACGACGAGGCACACGCTCTCTCGGCCACAGGTTGCCCCGGGAGTGATACGGCCAAGACCTTGTCATTGACAGCACAAAGCATGTCCATGATGTCCGGCGCGTACTCATCCGCCCACATAGCGCAAGCACTCTGCAGCGTGGCTTGTGCGCTGAGGATCTCCTCCATGGTCTTGCGACCCTCAGGCCTCGTCTCTTGGAACAAAGTGTTCGATGTGAAGCTCGTCATGACTCCTCGCCAGTATTCCAGGTTGCCCTCCGAATACTCCCCAAGATTGTAAGCAGCCATTGCTGCTACCGGTGTGGGAAACTTAAGAGCAACGAGTGCACGATTTGTTTTCTGAGCCGAGCTATCGGTGACAAACTTCTTCATGCTGTCAGCAAACTCAGAAAAAACATTGATGGATCAGGTCAGTCATTTCATGCGTGTAGGACTCAGCACGTTTGAGGGCCGCCCCCCGGACTGTCCATGATGGTGATCCTTGGTGCACTTGTATTGCTGCAATTTGGCCAATGATTGACAGGAAAAAGCAATAGTCCATGACTTTTGCAACAAATTTCCATCCTTGTCAACAACGCCAAACATGCATCCATCGCAATTGTACTTGACCATCTCATACTTCATGAGAAAATCATGCACAAAATAATTGTCCAATAACTGCAAAGCTTAGGAAGTTCCATGTTGACCACAAGCACAATGTCAATTTGTCGAAGCATAGTGATGAGTTTGTCCAACCGCTTCAACAATTGTTCTTGAGTGCGACCATTGGTATTGTTCCAGGGGCACCCACCCGTACACGGAATTGAAGCGTGAACCATCACACAGGGCCGTGTATTGGACTTGACATTCTTCCTGAAACTCTGCACCTCGTCAAATACCCACTGCAAAGTATCGGCAACCAACGCGTTCTGACGTTCAGACTCTTAGCACCTTGCAACCATGCGCGGATAATCTTGACTTGTCACCGAGCTTGGAATCATCCGAACAGCAAAACTCGCCTAGAAAACGATCGTACGTTTCATGCGTGGAAACGGCAGAAGCTTGCGATTCGCTAGTGGGGGCTGGCTTGATTGTAATGTTTCCATCCAACCGCACCCACCGTACTCCAATAAGATTGCAAGCATGATCCCATTTTGCTTTGCTCGTGAACGGCTTGGTCAAGATGTCCGCAACCTGATAAACAGTATTGACGTTGACGAGGTTGAAGAAACCTTTCGAAAATTGTTCTCGAAGCCATGCCAAAGAAGTTCTTTGGGTTCTGTCAGCATGACGAAGCTGTGCGGAATTTCCAGTCTGAATGATGTGAGTTGTTGCTTGATTGTCTTCACAAAAGGCAACTTTGAACTTCTCATTCAAATGAACATTTAGTCCGCGAAGAGGCGCTATCGTCCTTTCATGCTGTTCGAAACCACCATACCGATTAATGTCGTCCAACTCGGGGTCGAAATATACCAACACAGGATTGCCCCCCTGACCGGAGTTGCCCCGGCCT